GTACAGTTTGTATACAAATACATGTACTACAAATCACTATTACCCTTCAAAGCCAAGCTTATTGCCAGTGGTGCAACAGTTTGTAAATTTGTATTTTTTATTAGTCTACAATTTGTTTGAACATAATTTCCTATTGGATACAGGTCTTGGTCAAAATTTTGGGGGATATATAGGAAAAAATATGGTTATGAAGCACTCTGATGGTTAATAAGCACAATAGTTCTGAAAGACTATGATTTGATATATCAATATAAAGTTTTGATATTATCATTGCAGGTCCCTGTGGGTGACCAACCACCTGACATTGAAGTTCAAATCAAAGAACTTGTTGTGAATTATATAAATAACCCAAATTCCATAATATTATCTGTGACTGCTGCCAATACTGATATGGCTACATCAGAGGCAATCAAATTATCAAGGGAAGTTGACGAAGATGGTATGTTAACAACTTATTTAAACTTCATGTGATTTAACTGAGAGTATGCTGTAATATACAATGTATAAAGGCATTGCTAAATTTACATTTAGTTATTTCGTTATCCAGCTGACATTTTGACAGTTCAGTGCTGTGTACGAATACACAGCTGATTGCGAAAGTTTTTCAGTTTTACCGCTTTCATAGTACTGTGGAATACTTTATTTTCGCTTAGAATTAATTTTCGCTGAAGGAATGACTCAGTGAAAATAAAATCCAGCGAATATACCTTTTTTCCTATCTTTTACATTCAACTCGCCAAAAATTGGTGAAAATAAATTCCATATAACACACATAAAGTCTTTTCAGCGAAAATTAATTCCAGTGAAAATAAAGTATTTTACAGTATTACAAGTGAGTATTCGCATTGCAAATTGTTATGAAGTAAGTTTTGTTTACCCTAGGTCGTAGAACATTGGCAGTTATAACCAAACTGGATTTAATGGATGCTGGTACTGATGCTGTGGAAATTATATGTGGCAGAGGTAGGCATTCAGCTTTCACTGCTTAACTACCATTCAGAGATTTCTCCACGATAACTTCCAAAGAAACAAAGAAATCTCTTTCACCCATAATTTTATACCCTGGTTTCATGATGAAAATATTATTAATTTTTTTCCAAGTTTTCATACCTGCTTGTTATTTATTTTCTAGTGATTCCAGTAAAACTAGGTATTATTGGTGTAATCAACAGAAGTCAGATGGATATCAATAATAAGAAACCTATCCAAGAATCTGTTAAAGATGAAGCAGCATTTTTACAGAGAAAGTATCCAGCATTAGCCAGTAGAAACGGTACACCATACCTTGCAAAAACACTGAATAGGGTAGGTTTCATCATGTTACAGTATTTATAAACAATTAGCTGAATAATCTTCTATATTGGTTAAAGTTAGACTGTCTAATAATGGGTATTGTTCCGCTTTACATAGCTTTTGATGCACCACATCAGAGACTGCTTACCAGAATTAAAGACCAGGGTCAATGTGATGGCATCGCAGTTCCAACAGCTGTTACTGTCGTTTGGCGAGCCTGTTGAAAACCATGACGACAGAAGTCAAATGCTTCTGCAGATAATCACCAGGTTTGCTGCTGGATACTACGCTACCATTGAAGGAACTGCTAAGAATATTGAAACATCAGAATTGTGAGTAATTATTTACTCAATGTTCAAAAATGACTTTACTGCATAAAATTTGAAATAAATTAATGTTTGAAATGTGAAAAGTAAAACACTAGGACACAGTAGACAGCGGAGAATATATATATGACATATTTGTTAATCAATTGCTTTGATTTGACTGCCTAAAACACTTTATTCATTCTGTTATTTCATAAACATTTTGTTATAATTGTGACTTTTAAAAGTTTAATATGTTCTTCAATCTTTCACTGGTGCACCTTGAGCCCTTATCCCTTATCCCTTGTAACACAATTTTAGATGAAAAATGCCAATTACTGTGGCATTGAATATGTTTTAAAACTAGCTATAGCAGCTAAGTGATTGAAAATACTAACACAGACAACACAGCTGTATTGTCAGTCAATTACTTTTTGATATTGCTGGCTTGATGTACTAGTACTTAACAAATTCGCGGCCACAGTGAAGAGAAATGCAAAAAGTATTTGAACCCTCAACAGGAACATCATCATTTTTACTACGTTTACCATCAATTGATAAAAGTATTGAGTCAAACTCTTGGGCATGGCTTGACCTTGACTCCAAATTAAGAATTTTGAGGTTTATACTTGAATCAATACTTGTCGACAAAGTTCTAATAAAATGTGTGCCATTATATTCTGTTGTAGAGTTATCTCTAACAAGACACTAT